AAAAAAAAAAAAAAAAAAAGTTATTAGGATCTGGTAAACTACCAGACATGGGACAAAGAGATACAGAAAACATTACATGAAGCTTTTAAGAATTATAAAAATAGTGATGCCATAGATGAAAGAAAAAGTAGAAAAGCATTTTATTTGGTAAAAGATATAAGTAGGGTTAAGAGAAAATAGAACAGAGTCACATATACAAATCAAACTTTTTTTTTGGAGATAGAGTTTCACCATATTGCCCTCAGTAGAGTGCTATGGCATCACAGCTCACAGCAACCTTAAACTCTTAGGCTTAAGAGATTCTCTTCCTCAGCCTCCCAAGGGGCTAGGACTACAGGTGCCTGCCACAACGCCTGGCTATTTTTTTGTTGCAGTTGTCACTGTTGATTTTAGCTGGCCCTAGCCAGGTTCGAACCCTCCAGCCTCGGTGTATCTGGCCAACGCCTTACCCACTGAGCTATGGGCACTGCCAAATTAAACAATTTTATTTATTTATTTATTTGAGACAGAGCTTCAAGCTGTTGCCCTGGGTAGAATGTCGTGGCATCACAGCTCACAGCAACCTCCAACTCCTGGGCTTAAGCTAATCTCCTGTCTCTGCCTCCCAAGTAGTCCCTCCCTGGGACTACAGGCACCCGCCACAACGCCCAGCTATTTTTTGATTGCAGCTGTCATTATTGTTTAGCAAGCCAGGGCTGGATTCGAATTCTCCAGCTCAGATGTATGCGGCTGGCACCTTAGCCGCTTGAACTACAGGTGCCAAGCCAAAATTAAACAATTTTATTATTGAGCATTACTTTAAGTCATACGTTTGACAAAATACACAAAAATGTATAAGCCATGCTTTCAAGAAGCATGTATGTGGGATAAAAGTTTTGAGATACACAAAAATCAAGAAACATAAAATCCACGCAGATGGAAACAAATTAGGCCCTCCCAGCAACACTGAGAAGCCAACAAGTTGAAACATGCACAGGTGAATCAGAAAGGACATTGTTTCCCGGAAAGAACTATGTTTCCCAGAAGCGAAATAATGGACATAACAGTCTATCCTCAAAACTTCTGTAGTTATCCACATACTTTGGTTGTCATGAAACTTACACAGTAAGGCACAAAACAGAAAATGAGGTAATAAAATGCTGCAATGCAGATATTAAAAATGACAGATTTTCAGTAGATCTGAGAGGTTTAGGAAAAATGTGCAATCACACATTTCCCATAATTACACTGCTAAAGGCATAGTAACTCCAAACTAGGATCTATCTGATATTCTGTAGACGGGAAAACAAGCTTTAATTTAGAGAGAAATTAAGACAATAAAAATGGAGATAAGATTAGGTAAAAAAAGTTACATCAGTGGTAATTTCTTTTTTTTTTTGAGATAGAATCTCAAGCTGTTGCCCTGAGTAGAGCACTATGGTGTCATAGCTCACAGCAATCTCAAACTCTTGGGCTAAGTGATTCTCTTGCCTTAGCCTCCCAAGCAGCTAGAACTATAGGCACCTGCCACAATGCCCGGCTAGTTTGTTGTTGTTATTGTTGCAGTTGCCATTGTTTTTTAGCTGGCCCAGGTGAGGTTCGAACCTGCCAGCCTCAGTGTATGTGCCTGGTGCCCTACCCCCTGAACTATGGGCACCGCCCAGTGGCAAATTTTTAAAGCACGTTAATTTCCTCTGTTTACCAGTCCCCGTATCAATAGGAAAATACGCTTTCTTCAATAGCAGAAGTACAAAATAAGTCAAAGTCTTAGGTACATTTAAAACATAAATAAACATAAAACATTAGTCTTATTATCTATACATGGCAAATAAACACTACTAAACTTAGAGGGATTAGGAGTAAATATGAAATCACAAAAAAATCCACAAAATTATTAATATCTTCGTAATCATTAATGTTTATTGATTCTAGTATATATACTTATACTCCCATAAGAGTATTTCTATTCCTTTTTGTGAACAGAGACTAAAATTATAGTTTTCTTTCATAGTGTCAATTTTATAAAAAAATTCCTAAGTTTAATGGTATCTGATCAATATAAAAAGGTATGAGTGAGTTTTTCATTAATTTCATTTATTAGAAAACATTTTTAAATGGCCATCAAGAACTTTTAAATATGTTTTAAGTAATTCCTTCATGAATTCATTTTTAAGGCCAAAGAAAGCATACAATCTGACTTTAGCAACAATTTACTTATTTATCACTGCAATTTTAAGGGAAAAAATTATCTGAGGGCCCTATCATAACATTTATTGAATTATCAGTGATTTTTGTTTGAAAACGCTACAGATGAAAAGGGAGCAACTAAACAAAAGGGAATAAAAAGAAGGCAATGCTCTAGAACAAGTAAAAGAGCTAGATATGGATACAAAAGTTTACACAAAAAGAATGTTGTTTCTTTTCCTGCATGTCATTTGAATCTTGAAATTCTTTAACTAGAAAGACACAAGAAAGGATTACACTTTAGTCTTAACAGTCAGTGTAAGAATTGCTTACCTTGCAGATTATAAGCTGCCAACTGCACTGCTGTATCAAAGGGACATTCTAATCTGAGACCAAAGACAAATTTGTTAGACCAGTCAATTTTATAACCTTCATTTTAAGATAAATGAAAATAATACACACTTTATGCTGGCCTTTTTTTATAAACTTGTTTTCAAAATAATTTTTCAGCCATCCAAGAAAATGTAGTAAATAACTAATACTCACTTTCCACTGAGAATATCTTGTTTTAACTGAAGAACAAATAAATATCTAAGAAAAACAAAAGATACAAATTTAACTAAACAGAAAAATCTACTGTGAAAAAAATCTTACCCTTCTAATTTGAGAAGAAATATTGTTAATTATAAAATTGTACCCACAATAATGCATGTAAAGGAATAATAATACCAAAATTGGGGCGGGGGGGGGACGGAATAAGCATCAGGAGGATGAAAGCATGATCACAAGATTGTTAACAGCAAGGAACAGAAAGCCACACAGTATACACTGTACAGCGATCTTATGAGAAAATGTTTAAAGCAAACTATCGAGAAAGAGCTCTGCCATCTAATTTAACTTTATTCTGACATCAAATCCACCTGTCATGTGAAGGGATAAAGGCAAGGACGTAACTATGGACAACAGCTATACTCTCATTGTCAGGGTAGCCAAGAGGAAATCCTTCTGAAGGGACTCTAGCAACTCAACTTTTTCAGTTAATAAATAGTAAGTGTGCATGGAGTCATGGATGCATAACAGAAAGCAATGAAGAAATATCAAGGAGGTAAGATAAAATAAAAATGTCTACATAGCATAAAGTTTATTCATAAACTATTCAAACCAAACAAAGAGCTAATGTTTTTCATATAATGGTATTTCAATGAGTCACAAAAGTCACAAGCCAACTTCAGTAAGCTCCTACTAGCCAAAGATTAAGGTGAACATCAATAAACATAATATTGCAATGTGTTAAAACACATCAATCCTATTTAAAATTCATGAGTTGATGGCAATAGTTACAAAAAGAATTCACTAATTACTTTTGGAAGACATTAGGAAACCAACTCTTTATTTTGCAAACTGTTAAAGAACAAGACTCACATACTTAAACACTGAGAATAAAATTCTATTACCTTAGGTCATGTTACCAGGCAGGGGCAAGGAATCCATTTCACTAGTTGTTTATTACTTGGAAACAATTCTAAAGACAATCTTCCCAAAATACCAAAACTCCCCTGCACAACTCCGATGGTGTTCTTACCGGGTTAGCTCTTCACGAAGATTATTTGGTTCTGAGGAATAAAACTTAACTCGAAGATGCAGGCAATAGGGTGAACCGACTGCCATTTTTAAAAAGAGAGAGAGACAGCTTTAGTATTATTAATTATTGCTAGTTAAAGAGCAATAATTTTCAGCCAATAAATCTGTCAAAAATCTACTGGAGTGGGCTCGGCGCCTGTAGCACAGTGGTTACAGCATCAGCCACATACACCAAGACTGGTGGGTTCACACCTGGCCGGGGTCAGCTAAAAACAGTGTCAATTCAAACAAAAAAGACTAGGCAGCCGTCTGTAATCCCAGCTACTTGGGAGGCTGAGGCAAGAGAATCGCTTAAGCCCAAGAGTTTGAGGTTGCTGTGAGCTATGACATCATAGCACTCTACTGAGGGCGGCATAGTGAGACTCTGTCTCAAAAAAAAGGTAACGGGTTATTGTAGCATTATTTCAAGTTAGATCATAAGCTTATACCTGACACAAAAAGATCAGTAAACTTTTTTATTTTTATCTTATTTATTTATTTTGAGACAGAGTCTCACCATGTCGCCCTTGGTAGTGTGTTGTTGTGTCACAGCTCACAGCAACCTCTAACTCAGTGGTTCTCAACCTTCCTAATGCTGCAACCCTTTAATACAGTTCCTGTGGGTCGTGACCCACAGATTGAGAACCGCTGTCTAACTCTTGGGCTTAAGCAATTCTCTTCCCTCAGCCTCCAAAGCAGCTGGGACTATAGGTGCCCACCACAATGCCCAGCTATTTTTTTTGTTGCAGTTGTCATTGTTGTTTAGCAGGCCTGGGCCAGGTTGGAACCTGCCTGCCTTGGTGTATGTGGCTGGCGCCCTAACCACTGAGCTACGGGCGCTGAACCAGATATACTTTTTAAAAATGTACGAACCATCACAGTACTCTGACAATCATCTATCATGCCAGAATAGATAGCTCTAGATTACCTCTAATAGTTTAGGGCCAAATGCATTCAATGAAAGTCATGATTGTGCAAACTACTAGGACCCAAAACTTACTGAGCTATCCTTCTTAACAGGTCTGAGGAATGCCTATGCTACTAATTGCTCACAAAGAAATCTTCCCACACACTTTCGAATTCACTTCAGCTAGTTCACTAACCTCTATATTCTCAGTGGTCCTATTATTTTGTAAAAACGAAAGTTGAGGTGGCCTGAAAACTGATAGTACAGAGGATAAACTGGATTATGGATTAGAAATTAGTTTACCCTCAGCTACTGCTAGGAATAGTATTGACAGTTTATGTGAATTGTTTCACTTCATTCTTCTTAGTTTTAAAATATTATACTCTTAAAATCTCATGACATTTTCTGTAGCAAAGCAGGTGCCAAACAAAGCCAAAGAGGAAAATTCCAACAAAAGATATTACTATGTAATAATTAGGCATTTTATGGGAGGTCAGTCCATCAACCCATTTGCAAGCTGCAAGGCTTTCTCCTAAAGACTTAAATCCTAAGACACCTAAATCTAAATTAGCATCAAACCTATATAACTTGGGCAATATGGTCAGTCATATCTAAAATGACTTACAGAAAACAAATACTAAAAAATACATCATGATTTCTTAACGCCTGTACCAAAATTTCTAACATATTCAATTTCCCTTTTTACAAAAATAATTTTAATACTTACTTTTTACTTGCTTTTTGATGCTTTTTGTTCCATCCAACCAATGCTGAAAACAAAAAAGATGACAGATCTTTAAATTTGTAATTACTAAAGGTTATTTTCATCATGCCTTTGTTGATTATCACAAGGAAATATTTCACAAGAGAAAAATCAAAGTGAGTAAGAAAAGTTATCTGCCCTATATCCACAGCAAGTTTATAACACATGTGAACAAAAACCTGGTAACTTCTCAAAACATTTCCTCTGCTCCTTCAGAAACAAGGTTCATATTCTAAATTTTGTTCATAGTTTTCTTCCCACCATCCCAAATAAATAACTCTTCCAAAACTCTTAAAATTAGAGAAAATTATCTCCATATTCCAAAGCCTGGTTCAATCTTACAATAAAAACGTTAAATTAGCAGGTCAACCAAAAATTAAGAGAAATAACAATGTCACTTAAGTTTTACAAACTAGACACTACTCAGTCAGAAGCAGTCCTCTCTGAAAGAACCTCTAGGGTAAAATTAGATTTTTTTCATAACCAAGGCCCTATCTACTTAATGAAGCAGTCTTTAAGGCTCCTCTGCTTTACAAATAAAAAATGTTAACACTTTGATTACACGACTTTCAATCGTGCAATCAAAAATTCTCAAAAGTAAAATAGCCTTTTGATTTATATCTATTCATTCGGAAATGTCTATGACTCAGACCTAAAAACTAATCCCAGATACTATCACTGATAAATTGCTCCCAGCTCACTTCTCATTATTAATCCCTCTACACCAAGTCCTGACAGTGACAGGATGCCCTTGCCCAACTAAGATATACATGACTGTGTTCCCTCCAGCATGCTTTCAATTCCAAGCACGAAAAAAGTGCTCATGTGCTAACTAGTTCACATAGCCAAGGAATCCAGTTTCAGAAATCCAGATAGGCAAAGAGTGGGTAAACAAGGCTGCATTGTTAATAGACTTGTAACTATTTGCTTTTCTTGCCAATTATTTGCCTAGCCTCTCCTCTCCATTCTCTCCCAAGACCCAAAAGAGAAATTCACAGAACTACCAGTGCATCAACAGAGTCTCTTTCCACATTGAAATAAGATCCTCAGCAAACATTTCAAAAAACAACTAAACTAAATACAGTTATATTAGTTGTGGTCAGTGTAACCTTCACAGTTGACCACCTCTCTACAGCGACCATTCCTTAAGTTGACCTAATTTTCATAGACCATACATGCACTTGTACATGTCAGTACAGTGGGTCTAGTTCCTTATGCTGACCTCCTCTGTATGTTGACTAATTTGTTAGCGTCCTTTGGATGGTCAACTTACAGAGGTTCTACTGTACTATATTTTCTCTAGATTCCAATTGTGTAGGCTAATTTACCATCTTTCATCTTTTAACAAATAGTTGCACGTCTCTTTTTAAGCACATTTCAATCTAGCAAATGCTTTAAACCTCTCTGTTAACAGAACAGTAGGCCTGACAGTATTAAGAACACAATCCAATCTACTAGTGGAAAAGACATCAATCTAAGACAGCAAATAGTCCATCCATGCTTATCCATTCCAGAAACCCAATATCCAAAACTCCAGTCTTAATTAACCCAAGTAGCTACTGCAGCCTCATGCCAATGCTATACTACGTATGGGATGAAACTATGATTGCCCCTGATTGTTTTCACCCCAGAAACATGGACCCCAGAGTTGTCCTATCTGCTATGGTTGGTCACCTGGGCACTGCCTGATGCAGCCATGGTTAAGGAGACTCATACACCCTAAATGAGTGCGTATGAGCCCAACCCTTCCAGGAGGATTTGACAATTTCACTAGAACAGAAGCTAATGGCCTCAAAAATAACTACATATCTTTAGCAACTTTACAACTAGAAATCATTATGGATATGTGTAGATTTACCAACAAGAAATTACATTAGGCTCCCC